CAAATGTAAATCATTAAAGATTTAAAAATTATAAATTTAAGCATATGCATAAAGATAGAGGTAACCCATGGTGGAATTATACAAGGTGTTGTACGTAGTGACAGCTCATGTCGACAGCTCCCTTACAAAAGGTTGTAATATGGAAGCACGAGAGAAACGGGAAGAAAAAAAGCCCGCTTTGCGAAGTAGTACGAAATTTGGTACTATTTTTCATATAAAATTTTGCATATAAATAGTTATAAACGGTATATTATGATAAGCTAAATTCGCGAAAGTAGTATATATAACGTAGTACTTATGCAAACTTCCAAAACCAAAAAATTAGTGGTGACCCCGAGTCGTTACAACATGACGGAATCGACAAAAGGGCGCATCGACGGATGGGGAGAATATTTAATCGAACAAAATGCCAACTAAAGATGTGGAGCTTGCATCGCAATGCAAGCTGCGACCGTTCTGAACTGAGATGCCAGACAAATGGTTTCTACAAATTGAGGCCACCTTTCAGTCGTACAAGACCACATCTTATGTCGGTAAATATAATCTGGTCCTCTCAGCAATTAGCAGCGATGCTTTAAAGGAAGCTGCGGATGTTTTAAAAACCTTACCAACTCAAGACCGATATATTAACCTCAAAAGTCAACTACTGTCACGTTTTACTGATTCAGCCGACCCACATAGGGTATTTGGCTGATTTAGGCATATTTTTATCGCTACAAACATCAAATATAGTTTTAGTTATCGAATAAAACATTCACTATAACTACCCTGTTACTAATAGAAAATTCAATCGTAGTGAAATCTTATTTATTGTTAATATTATTGTGGCTTATTAACATTTGTTTCCATATTGCTATTGAGCTTTGTAGCACTATTATGTTTTTAGGGAAAAGGGAAAAAGCAACAAAGTCTTAGCGATAGGAGTTACCAAAAAAAAACAGTTATATCGTTGGAAAAGCAGGGCCAGTGGCAGTGAACCACAGACGGGATTGCAGCAGCAAAATTCACTGGGGAATAGATGCATAGTTAAATACGTAGTTCTTGTTTAAATCTTCCATCTAAACTTACCAAGAAAACAGTTATATCGTTGAAAAAGCAAGGCCAGTGGTAGTGAACCACGGAATTGCAGCGGAAGGAAGCACCGACCAAAATAACTACAAATCCTTGGGGAGAACTCTAAACCGATGTTTTTTTGCCGAATTAATGTTGAAATTTCTAATTTAATTTTCAGTTGCCAACGATAAGAATAGAGTAAATGTCAAAGAATTGTTCAGTGATTGCAAATCAGTTTTGGAATAGGGAATGAGGTAATTTAGTACTTTTTTAAAGGCGATAAAATTTAGTTTTTTCAAGAGGGAAACACCGATATAGCTAAGGGAGCCAAGATGGCGGATTAGAGCGAGAACGCTGTCAATATCCAACACCTTGTATTATTCCACCATGGAGGTAACCAAAATGTATTCAACAAAGTGTGATTGAATTTGACATTGCTCTCAGAAGAACCATCATATAAAGTCAAATTGAAAAAAATGTTTATGAATTTTGAATCGCCTGTTTATATTTTTTGGCATAATAGTACCTTAAAACAGAGCCTACCTGTGTTGTCAATCACACCTTGTTTAATACACCTTGGATGTACATGCGTATGTTTGCGGCTATTTCCCATTAAAGGTAACTACAGTGATTCTGCGCGATGACTTTCGATTTGGCTCAAATTTTACACACAACCCAGTTCCATTCGAAAACTAAAAGAAATGGACGTTAAATTGAGTAAGATGATGCAAAGGACTTACCACTATGATTCATACCATCTTTGACTAGATTTTTACTTCTCTGCATTCCGCCGAAAGCTGTAAAGCTAAATATATATGATAACTAGGGCTCGGAATCTCATGAGCTAAAAAATCGAGAATATGCATATAATATGCGTTCAAAATTTAAAAATATGCCCAATAAACAGGTAAAATATGCAATTTAAAATATTTTCCTAATATTTTATTGCCAGAACAAAAAAAAAATAACACATGTATTTTAACAAGAAAATAACGAAAGCGATTCACTTCAAAATACAATACTATACAATACAATATTTATGTATAAAATTA